TTAAAACTAAAAATAAAAGAATAAAAAAACCCAGCACAATGGGGTGGCGTATCGAAGCTAGATAAAAGAGTTCGATAAAAAACACCAGGTGTGAAAAAGTTTCTAAGTTCGAAAGAGCACAATTGCTCTTTATAATTTTAAAAATAGTATTTTTAAATACATTTAATAAAAAGTAACTGAGTAGTATTTTAAATACAACTATTTAGTATTTAATACTGTTTAATATTTAGTACTATTAATATACTTTTTTTTTTTTTAATTTGCTAATCGTAACACAGCAAGCAAATTAAACCCAGTCAAAATGAAAATTGAGAATAATTCTCTGCTATTTTATATGTTACATTATAGTATAACACAATTATTGTGCTTATCTAAATGCTATTATGTATACATCTATTTTTAATACATATGTTGAACCTACAATAGCCTATTGCAGGTTCAAATGATTTACTCTATTGTCAATAAGACATACTTTACAGGTTTTTACACGTGTACTAATATTTATTTTTTTCACTGATTAGTCTCCAATAATTAATTTTATTTACCTCTAACAAAAAATATCGAAAATAATAAATGANATTTTTACAACTATCCATAAATAACATCAACAACACTTTGAATTAGTAAACTACAATTAAATTGACACAAACACTTTGGCACCCAGCGATGACTATAGGTTACATAATGCAATAAATTACATGCTAATTACCCGAAACTATTATCACAATAAGATTGTATTACAACTCAATTTTACATTATAATAGATGAAATCTATTCATCTTGCAACGTGCTTTCTCGCTAGGGTCCTAAAAGTTGGCTAAGCTATACCTAAACGGGGCAACGCTAGTCCTGTATAATTTATATCCCACTAAAAGGGCAGTTCGCGATTTGGTAACCAAATAAATATGGACTCTCAACTAACAACGATAACAAGCATTTATTTCTATTTAATATTATTTAAATATAACCTAACTGGATCTCTAGAGATATTTGTAGTGTCCAAATTAGGTGAGAGACGGCAGCGAGTGTACACAACCCGAAATAATAATAAGTAAACAATAATAGTATTTAATTTAATAACCACAATAATACTGTCCCGGTTACGTTATCAAATAAATAAAGGTAAGTTGCGGCAAGCGTGGTAAAATGTCGATTGTCTTCGTTATATTTTTAATGAATTTAAGAAAAGTGTGTAATTTGTTTATTTACAACAGCGCGCACATACTCATAGATCAGTCGTAGAGTCGTTAGTGCTAATCAGGTACTATTAAAGTTGTTATTAGTTAATGTTGGTAACTGAATTCGATACTTTTTTTTAACCATACTAATGATCCATACTAAATAAGAATTTTAATTCGTCCTAAAACTAGATTCGACACTAATACAGAACTTCTTGGACACATTCCTAATGAGACGACTTACAATTGTGATTTTAATTACTGTTAAATTTAAATCTAAACGGGTTTCCTATTTTCCTGGCATCTTTTCATAGTTACAACTAAAGTAGAAGAAACATAAGGGGTGTTATTATTTTTTCACGCCAAAATACTTTTTTTATAAAAACACATATATATCTTACATTTTTTTTTAGCCTCTAGCCTCTAGTTATGTCATTACATCTAAATGTACTAGATTTTTAAATTCATCATATCTCATTTGCTTTTTTACACACAAAAAAATATTGATTACATAAATTATAATGTACGAGAAATTTAGTGTTTTTAATAAAAATAAAACGCAGTTATTATTCTAAATATTATTTGACTATGTGAAATAAAAATCAAAAAATTCTGTTTTTAGATTAAAGATACCACTAAAATTATCACAATTCAATAGCCTTGTAAAATAATTGTGAATGTATCAATTTATTTAAGATACATATAACAAATGACTTTTTTATAGCAAATGTTAAAACTCGTACATGCGACATTTCTTTTTGAAAATGTTAGCACAGTACAGCCAGTTTTTTTTTTACATTTGCAAATTTATAGCGCGTACTAGTGACATAACTGTCTCGATACATCAAACTATGTACAGCCCGCTATTTTAATATTATAAGTTTAAAGTCATCGTTTGTTTTGAAAGTGTAATATAAATTAAAACAAACTTTCATATATCAATATGACTTTTTATAGGCAGTTCTCAAAATCAAATTCATATGTATATATATATATAGGTTATGATAAAAAAAGAGGTATCATTAACTAAAGAACTAACTTTTTTGTTTAAATTTCATGTAGTCAAATAATATTTTCAATCAATTAATTTACATCACTTTTTTTATCTAAGATATAAAATCTCGTATATTACAATGTATGTATTCAACATTTTTTTGTTGGATAGAAAGTCTAATGTAGTCTAAACTGTAGTGATGTGTATCCAAAAAATTTAATACACACAGTTGTATAGGCGCAACTAGTAGCTATTAGATATTAACCTCACAACAAATGTAGGATATATATGTGTTATTATATAAAAATATTCTTTAGGATGAGAAAATAATAATACCGACTGAAATTTTATTGTAGATGTGCCCATAGAAAAGTGCAAGCGAATTGGTAAACCACATTAGATTTATATTTAACAGCGATATAAACCACTATTATAATACGTTTCAATACGAATTGCATCACCGTTTAAAATTTAACGTACATTCCATGAAACATTGAATAATAGCTAATATAATTATTAATTTGTATGAACGAGAAGAAAAACTAATCTCATTAAAAAGTATAAAGTAACTCAAATTTACTATAAAGTATCAATATGATTTGTTTTTATATTAATTGTATTTTGAATAAACAAGAATACTAGTAAGTAGTTAATTAAAAATTGGTGTTCTCATTTGAAAAAACAATGTTGACATACATACAAGGCATTCGAAATGAACTTAAAAATTATTATATAGCTAATAATTCTTGAATTTAAGTATAAAATTATTAAAAAACAGCTTGGATAATTTTATCAGGCAAATTAAATTATTAAATCCAGCCTTCATTGGATATATTTCTTACAACTTTTCTGAATTACATTCAATTAAGTTAAGAATATATTAATTAGTTTATTATAATAAAAAAACAAAATGATAAATTTATCATTATTAAATGTATACAGAAAAAATATTCAGCTATAGATTATTAAAGAAATATATGTATATAATAAAAGCTAAAAGTTGACTCTCAATATTTTTTCCAAGAGAAATAATATGGCCAACATTAATTTTGTGAGATAAATTTATCGATTTTACAAATCATTCTTGGAAGGAAAATAGTAAGCCATTACATAAAGTACCAATTATCTTATGAAAAATTTTCACAAACAATAAGAAATTTTTTTACTAAAATTTTTTCTTAAATTCTACTCTACAAAATAGCTATCTTAGATTTTTTTTTTACATTTTATTTAAAATTAAAAAATAATTAATATTTTTAATAAAATGTAAAATAATTAATTATTGAGATATAGCTATAGACCTAACATATAACTATTATTTAAAAAAAAAATCGACTAAAAATATTAACTGGATCAAAAGTTATTTAAGTTATCAGTGAGTGGTGGGCCACCCTATCGTACTGCATTTTATAACCATTGAAAATTGTATTGAATTTTATTAAAATAAATTGTATCAACATATATGACTTAACGTGCATTCCATCAAACATTATAATTAATTAATCCATATAAACGAGAAAAAAGATAATTAATTTTACTAAAAAGTATAAAATAACTCAAATTTACTAAGAAAATGTCTGTTTTTTTTAAAGTTATTTGTTTCTATGACAACTGTAACTTTGAATAATCAAGAATACTTTACTATTTTTACATTAACAATTAGCCAGTATTTATGTTATAAAAACATTTTTTTCGTGAGAAATTGTTATAATACATACACCACTCATTATTCAGTAGTATATATGTTAATATCTATTAGTCATCAAATTAAAAATATCATTCATGTTACTTTAAGCTATTCCAAGAAATATGTCTAAAAATACATTGATATAAATCTACTGTAATAATTATAAGAAATTCTTTAGTTGTGACAAATTATCTATTTTAAGTAAAATAATATGTAATAAATAATACAAATTGAGTAATAAACAGATAATAGTAAAAGGTCGTGACACTTCTTGCATAGATAGATGAATTAAATTTAATATAAAAGGGCATAAACACTGTCAATCTCACTCACTACCACTTCACCTTATGAACTTTTAACGAATGCAAGAAGTGGCTTGACAAAATACGATTTTACATAGAAAATTGAAGTATATTCATTTTTTCAACATTAGTCCTGAAATCATTAAGGTAAATTCATATTCAAAGTAAATATAATGAGTACATAAATTAAGTAGGAAACCAGAAAAAGTAAAGTGATCTCTAGAATAAAATATTGTCTAAATAAATAAAGAGAATCAATAACGTTTGTACGAAGTTAGCCAGCCTAGTCTAATCTTTGAGTGGGTTAACTGTGTAGTCAATACTAATAAAGACTCTCTTGCGAAGATAGAGAACCCACTTGTGGTTCCTATACTACTCGAGGTTTTTATTGACTCGACTCACAGTCAGCACAAGCCTAGATAACTACTGGTACGAGTGGCGTTGTTGATGATCTATGTGTGATAATTAATCACAATAATTTCTATTTAAAATTATTATTATATTAATAAATTTTCAAACATCACTTTGTTTTTCTATATTTTACATCTTCTCATATACCCTCGTACTCATATCCCGAGAGAAAATTATATTATATCATTTTCTTTATTAAATAAATATTATAGTAACTCAATTATTCTCATGCTCATATAATACCAACAAATATAAATAATTTTAATAAATTATCCTTTTAATTACTAAATAAATATCTTCTTAATAATTTTCTCCTTTTATTTTGAGTTACTATAAAATAGTATGGCTAAAGTAAATTTGAGAGATAATTTATCAATTTCAAAACACATTTTTGGAAGAAAAAAAGTAAGCCAATACAGAAATTACCAATTATAATATAAAAAAATTTACATCAATTGGATAAAAACAATAGTGGTCTATAAATTATACCTTTTGCTTCATTGACATCTCTATCAACTTTATTTTCTATTTCTCTTTTAAGTACAATACAAATACTCTTGAAACATTATTTAATGGCTTCACAGTTTTTACATTTACAATTCCATCTACTATTTCTAATTAGCCCAAAGTTTTTGTTTTTATATCCAAGTTTTTTTCCAATTCAACTAATTGACAATTCACGGGGGAAGAGAAAAATTAACACATACACATTTAATCATGTTAAAAAAACTTAGTTTCCTAAAAATGTTTAATATTTTAATAAAACAAACATATTTTATTAATATTGGTTTTACTTTAATATTTTTTCATATATCTGCAACCAAATGATTTATTATATGAACATACAATGAGTAAAAATCGCTTTTGAAAATTTAATTCTAATTTTTGATAGACTCCATTAAATTTCCAGACATGATGTAAGCATAAACATAAGATTGTGAAATTATTTAAGCTTCAGTATTTTATTTACATGTTTTAAAATAATATAAAACATTTGTTCTTCTTCATAACATCTAAAAATAAAGCAAAAATTTTGTAGTAATATTAGTGTTTATTAATTTTATATTTTTTTATTAATGCTCATTTTTAAATTTATTATCTTACTTCATCAAACTTTATACTAAAAGTCTGTTTATTAATGTCTTCTATAATTGAATCTCTTACGCCATTTGCACATACTTCAATTATTTCATTTTAAATATGATGACTAGTGTAATTTGTTTCTTTGTTGAATATTTCAGAAAACTTAGGTTTATGCTTGGAAAATAAAACACAAGTTTTGTTGAAATTTCCCAAGAAAAATTATTTATTAAGAAATTAATAATTATAACTTCTCAGTTTTAATTACTTATTATTAGGTTATTAGATTACTTAAATTAGTTCCCTACGTTGATTTAATGATGAATTATTTTTATTGTGTCAGGCCATTCTTTGGATACTCAATACATTGTTATGTTAATTAGACTTTTCAAATATTACCTATTAGCAGTAACTTCTATTTTAAATTGAGTTATTAGCTGGGTATGAACAGTGTCAGTTTTTTAATAGTTATTTATGAGATTTTGTACTAGATGAGCATCATGCTTTGTAAGTTTTCCATTTTTAAGATCTCTAGATCCACATAACTAATAAATATAAAAAACAAATAATTAAAGTTAATTTTAACTATTAATAATAGGCTTAATAGCAATTAAATTATGTATTTAATGTACAATATAAATACTATGCTGTTAGTTTTATACATGATTTACATCTAATATGGATCGTTTTGGACCAGACTGTAAATCACCTAAATCAAATTTCAAGTTGCCTGTAGATGATGTTATATGGTTTTTAATCATTTCTTACTTGATTAGAGTCACAGCTGTTTCAGGATTTTTTGGATTAAAGATAACAAATAATTTTGAATTCGTTATTTTATTTACAAATTATTATAAAAGTAAAAAAAAATAACAGTTCTGCTACAATACAGATTTATTTCTCCATGTAGAAAAAGTGCAAATTAACTATGATAACGAGCAGATAGATTTCACAGCTAAATATATAATTTGTTGAAATAGTGTATATGATATTAAAGTCAATATATTGCACAGGCCAAATAATGTTAACATTAGCATTATCTATGTTACATCTAACACAGATTATATAAATGATATACTATTAATATTTTAAAGAGTATAGATGCTGATATTTTGAAATGGTAAATCCGTTTGACAATGATATAACAATACAATTATATTTGACTACTTATGCTAGTAGACGAATATTCGGCATTCGCTCAATGTGCAGCAATTAGACAAATAATTGGAACCAGACTTAACATATATTTTTTTTAAATAAAATATGTTTTTTAGTAAACATATAAAATGATGTCTAAAAAGGCATTTAAACGCGCGCGTACTCATTTTTTAAAAATACAGGCATTAATCACTCTATTTTAAACACCCCCGCATTTAAATTGAACAAGTTTACCAAAATATTTGAAGAAGAACAAAAGAAAATTGATGGCCTAGTATTAATACTATAGTAATTTCAGAGATAAGATGGGGAAGTCATAAACGTGCATAGACTCGGTGTACATTAACTTGTCAGAAATTAATAACTCATTACAGTGAATTGCTGATAGAGAACTTCTCTATATAAAATTTAAATTTATTTTAGAAGCACTAGAATTACTTTTTCAAATGGTGAATTTTAAATATAGTTTTCATTAGTTTTATTAAACAATATACTTGGAAAAGATAATATTTTATCAAATTATTTACAAAATTCTAAAATTGATTTAATAACTGCACATGATATGGTTTCAACGTGTTTTTTAGATATTCCATCTTTAAGAAATGAGGAACATTTTTTAAAAATAAATTTTAGTGCAAATGAATTGTGTGAACATTTTGGAGGCAAAAATGACTTTGAGCAAGAACGTATTAAATTTGGATATATTGAGCATTGAGCACAATATAGGACAAAAAATTAACTTTAATAATGTTATGAATACATTTACTTTACTACTGGAAAAGCGCAACAAAATTATGTACAGTTCTATGCTTTTACAATATTTAATTTCTCCTACTTTTATTTTTGTATATTATGATAAAAATAAAACTTAATTCAGGTATGAATTACTTTTGCATTGAATTAGAATTTAAAATAATTTCCTATTGTGGAAATGTAAGCAGTCACTGAAAACTAAAATTAAATAAATTTGGTGTAACTATAAATTTAAAACTAAAATAAGTAATTATTATTTGATAATCTACTTAAAATTAATATAATATTTCTAGTAATTTTAGCTTCGATGCGAAACTGAGAAGGTATTAATTTTACTATGATGTGTTTTTTTTATGTCTTTTGCCACTTTTTCTCAGCTCTAACTGGACCGACTTCTTTCAAAAATACGTCAAAAGATCACAAATCGTATCTAGTTGAAGACATTACCCTTAAAAATTGAAAAAAATTCCCTCGTTCCCCGCAAATGGGGGAAATATCCAAAAAAATTACAAATTTAAAAATCGCTAATTTTCGAAATTTTTTCACNAAATGGGGGAAATTTCCATAAAAATTACAAATTTAAAAATCGTTAAATTTGTCATTTTTTTCACTTTTTTTTCTTCAAACTTCCATAACTTTGTCAAAAATCAACAAATCAACATAATTTATTTGTGTACTAAAACTTTAGACATTTTCCTTTCATTTGATATCATTTTTTTGAAAATCTATCACTTAACCTGCTCATTAAGGAGGATTTAAAATAGAAACTTTTTTACAAATATTAACTTTTTCAACTTAATTTTTGAAAATGTTCCGGAAATACTGCGTCCTTCAAACATATATCAAATTAAAGCTTTTTACATGTACTATAAAATAAAAAAAAACAATTTGTCCTGACGACCTATCTTCTATGCACAAATGGCTATCGTATCCAAAAATATGCTATTTTAACAAATTTTTTTTAAATTAAACACTAACTACAGATTTTCATCGAAGCGTTTTTTATGATAGTGATTTTAATCACTGTCAGATATCATCTATACTGGACCCAACTATGCCACGACCCCACTATGCTGGGTTTTTATTTATTTATAAATAAATAAATTTAATGATGGTATTTATTTATAAATAAATAAATACTATCAAATACCAAACAATTTTTTTTAATTGAATATATTTTAAATGCAACAAATAAAAATAACATTATTACTTTATACCTAACCTAAAGTTAGTTTTTAATTTTATTTAATAATTATTAGTTATAACTTATGCCATTTAGTTATATTGAGTGCTGGTATAAAGGTGTGATATAAATGAGGTAATTTACGAGAGCAGTGAAGACTAAGTAATACATAGTTAGTTAAAGCTTCTACACAGTGGCAGGGTCGTTTCTAGCCTTCCCAATATGATCGGATGTTAGTTTGAAAATATGATAATGATGAGTTTAATAGTATTTCTTTACCTATACATAAGATATATGTAAGTTATTTTTTAAATTTAATTGCAACCTCAAATATTGAAACATTTGATAATAGCCTAAATTATTCAAGTTTTATAATCTTATATAAATCAACTCATTTTAATTCACAAAATTTTTTAGTTTAACCATTTTTGAACTTGTTACAAAAGTTATAAAATTAAAAATTGGGTATTAAAAAAATGTTCGGTCATTTTTTATTAATTATATGACTCATATTTCAATTTTCATCAAAATTAACCTATGAAATTAAAGATGAGTATTACAGAAATATGATCTACCAATAAATATTAAAAATCTTCACTACCCTAAAATCTTAATTTCTCAACCAACTATTTATAAATGTATAAGTAAAATTTTTATTAATGATTTCATCAAAGAGTTGGGTTGGGTTACCTATAAAGTTTTTTTGTGATATAATGTTAATTATAAACTACTAATTGTAATAATATAGTATTAGATTTTTTTATCTTGAATAAATAAACAAAACTGAAATATTATATTGAATATAAAATATTAGTTGAATTTCATTATCAGACTCATTACAATTATTGTCGTTAGCTCCATTTACAGGTTTTAAACAGTCTTATTCCATAAACGGATCGAAATGTTGTCATCATGAATATTATTATGTTTATAAGTCATAGTACGCACTTAATCAGATTATAATTACATTATTTTAAAGTAATTACGTAAGTAAAAAACAAACAATTAAATATTAAAATCAAATATTAATATTAATTTAACAAAACAATCTTAATTTGTAAGATCACTTCAAAAATGGTATTTGTAAATAAAAAATTTATAAAACTCTGAATTCATTTAAATATTAACATCAATGCAATTTAAAAGTATATTAAAAAAAAAATTGTAAATAAACTGTTTTATACCCATTTAATTAAACCATTGTTTATTATCGTGATATGAAACGGCGTGTCAGCTATGCAATTTAGCTACATGAATGTCTTAATTTCAATAATTTGTCAATTATTTCTTATAAACTGTAGTATTACATTTTAATACATGTAATAATTAATATTTATATTTAATAAAATATATCACCAAATCAGTGTTCCCCCGTGGATAAGATGAATAATAAAATAATACCCTTACACAAGATTTAACCACCCTCTTACGCATTCCATAAAACGCCCACGTAAAAGATTCTATCACATTAACTAATCAAATGCAGCAAAAGATATTTCAAGAATCTCACCAGAGATCGCTAAACCAGTTTTTGCAGGCTATAAAAAGGCTATTTTCACCCAAATTCAGGTGATTCTCTTACGGTGGTTCTTTTACGAGGCGCTTCTCCTACGGTGGTTCTTTTACTGTGTGATTCTTTTGCGGTTTCTGAACATCCCTCTAGCGGACACTGGGACGCCTTTGCCATTCTATTTCTGCATCTCTACGGCTCTCTGGAATACTCAACCAAGATACAAAAAGTGAATGTGCGTGAGTTTATGTTTCATTATAGTTACAATTCTATATCAAATCTGCACTATTTTTACAATCTTTTGTAATTATTGAAAATATTATACATCTTATTTTCGGTCGAATACTTTTGGTGATATAAATATTCTAACACATATAAAATATTGGTGTTTATTTATTTCTTTTTATCTACATTTATATATATATATAAGCATACTAAAAGGTTACATTGTGTTAGATTGCATAGTGTTCTATTACTTATTGAAGCGCCACATCTTGGCTGGACATAGTACTAGCACAATAATATCATAGTTAATACTCCAACTAATTATAAGCATTCTAAAAAGTGTCTCTCCATTTATCGACCAGCCAGTCTGATCTCTGCCACAGTTCGGGCAATCGGAGTGTAGGACACTAACATAACTTATCGTGCATAAATCTATAGTACAGTCGCATCTAACCTAGGTCGTCCTACAGGTGATTGAAAAGAAGTAGGCCACATATCATAAGGTTCTTTGCATAAAGACAAAGATATTATTTGAGATCTCGCGTTGGTATATCCAGCTACGAAATACAAATAAATCAGAGTCGAAATATTATACTAATCAACTAAACAACTAAAAAGTGTCTCTCCACTTATCGACTAGCTAGTCTGATCTCAGCCACAATGCGGGCAATCGGAGTGTAGGCACTACCATAATCTATTGTGCAAAGAACCGAAATTGAGCTCGCATCTACCCTAGATCACTCTTTGGACGACTGAAAAGACGTAGGCCACTNAAATCGGAGTGTAGGCACTACCATAATCTATTGTGCAAAGAACCGAAATTGAGCTCGCATCTACCCTAGATCACTATTTGGACGACTGAAAAGACGTAGGCCATTTGGAAATAGTAGACAGTTATGTTGTTTAGAATTTCTTTATTTGTTTTATAAATTATTAAATAATAAATATATTAATATACAAATTTTTTTTATATAGATGCATGTCTTTATCTATCATTTGGTTTTTTATTATAAATCTAACCTTTTACCGCCCACAAGAGGGATTCAAAATATTAATTTTTTTTTTTAGTTAAAGTTAATCATTAAAATTAATTCA